TTGGGTCTTGTTTTGGATGCTTGTGTACTATGGTARCATGATSAWTGACAACATTGCATTTWGGGGGTCAGGGGGGAYGAAATTGTSTGCKGRTGTTGCTTAAAATGAVGAAATTCGCTGGAATGGTCCAAGGTTTTTGTCAACGATTGTAGGATTATCCTTGCTAGTTAGTATCCTGTCCCTACATACTTAGGATCCTATTTAGGACACCATTCCTAAATAAGATCCTAGAGGATCTTACAGGATCCTGTCTAGGATTTGCACCAGGGTAACTGCTACTTGGGAATGATCTACTTTTGACCTCTTCATTAATCTTATTTTGTTTGATTTATTGATCTATTTTGACTTGCAGAAAGTAAACTGGGCAAACTCAGATGAAAAGACAGCTGAGGAATTCATAGAGTTTCTAATGACACTTGTATCAGCACAGACATTCTATTTAAGGTCTTGYCTTAGAATGCTGACAAAACTCTTTCTTCCAAGTAAGTAAACCYTGCAGATTGACCACTTTGACAAAACTAAGAAAACAACAGAAATATTACAACAAATTAACATGGAAAACTACCCAAACTATCTCTGGGTTCTTGTCTTTCATGTACTGATATTTCGATTGTTTGTAGAGTTTATATGGGAAACAATTATAATGGGAAATTTAAGAGGTGGTCGCATACGGGATATGGTCGCTTATGAGAGTGGTCGTTCGAAGAGAGTCAATTGTATTATGTATTTAATATATAGATCTCCCAAATGCAGGTTGCCAAGTTAATTGTTGGCTATTGATTCTATATTTTTTAGAAGACAAGGAGCTGGGTTCTTGTTCAAAGCTGAATTTGCGCAAGTTAACCCTGAGGATTAACATTAATCAAGATTCGAAAAACCCTATCCATATGATGATTTGTTTTTCAGGCCATTAGATAAAACTGTCAGTCTCAAAAATATGTACTATGTAATATATAAAATAACAGCGGGAGACCTTTACGGGCATTTAAAACTGCAAGCTGCAAGCGAGCAATTTTATAGCTCATAAAGGTCGGACATGAATATTTTATATTGCTTATCAAATTCCAACATAAGGTAAAGCTTATAATTTCGAAAAAACTTCAGGATAAAATACAGTATCATTTGTAAGAGAAAATCGAAGTTAAAGTCGTATGCAAATCAGGACAAATCTCTTGCTCGTATAAGATGCGGTCACGGCAATGATTTTCCATTGTGTTTACCTTATGAATTATTAATGAATTTGGTAAGGAATGTTAGAGGTTTTTGAGTGACTCCAAGGTGAAAAACACTCACAAATAAAGACAAGTTGAACAAGAGGGCACTTGAGACTTGAAGGAGTTCAAAAAATGAAGAATTTACCCATAGAACTATTTCTTTCTATAGAAGTTCCTTCAGGAGTTGAACCAAAGGATTTCAATATCAAAGGTTTGTCTCATTTTAATTAATAACTAATTTGTTTTCTCTTGATGATCATCTTCTTAAATCTTTGTGTTTGCTTAGAACAAGAGCATGTCTTCAACAATGCCCATGGGGGMTTGCAAGCAATACTAGAGTTAGTCCCAACGTAAGTGTTCATGATAGATTTATGCACTTGAAAGGCTGTAAAATTTCATCAAAGAGGCTCCAGAAAGTATGTTAGCCAAACTTTAAAACATTTTCACTCAAGCCAGTTAGAATCTTAATTTGCAAATATTTTTTTCAAAATATTTGACCTTGCTGTCATAATCATGAAATGCATTTTCAACTYCTGAAAGGTCTCCCTCTTATATTTTAATTATTACTTAATGATTATCAACACAAGCCTTTGGTCTTGTTCCATAGGACTCCAAAGTTTCTACTGCCAGTTCTGTCAGACCATTTCCCCTACATCAAGAAGCACAAGATCTTCCAGACAAGCTATATTAAAAATCTGCTTCACATAACACATTATCTACCTTCACTGAGAAAAGAAATACTAGAATGTGTTGTCAATCACGTCACTAAGATAGATGTAAGTACTGACATCATACAACATATAAGACTCTTTGACTTAGACAGCAAAGTGTCTGGTTAACTGTTTGACTTAGACAGCAAAGTGTCTGGTTAACTGTTTGACTTAGACAGCAAAGTGTCTGGTTAACTGTTTGACTTAGACAGCAAAGTGTCTGGTTAACTGTTTGACTTAGACAGCAAAGTGTCTGGTTAACTGTTTGACTTAGACAGCAAAGTGTCTGGTTAACTGTTTGACTTAGACAGCAAAGTGTCTGGTTAACTGTTTGACTTAGACAGCAAAGTGTCTGGTTAACTGTTTGACTTAGACAGCAAAGTGTCTGGTTAACTGTTTGACTTAGACAGCAAAGTGTCTGGTTAACTGTTTGACTTAGACAGCAAAGTGTCTGGTTAACTGTTTGACTTAGACAGCAAAGTGTCTGGTTAACTGTTTGACTTAGACAGCAAAGTGTCTGGTTAACTGTTTGACTTAGACAGCAAAGTGTCTGGTTAACTGTTTGACTTAGACAGCAAAGTGTCTGGTTAACTGTTTGACTTAGACAGCAAAGTGTCTGGTTAACTGTTTGACTTAGACAGCAAAGTGTCTGGTTAACTGTTTGACTTAGACAGCAAAGTGTCTGGTTAACTGTTTGACTTAGACAGCAAAGTGTCTGGTTAACTGTTTGACTTAGACAGCAAAGTGTCTGGTTAACTGTTTGACTTAGACAGCAAAGTGTCTGGTTAACTGTTTGACTTAGACAGCAAAGTGTCTGGTTAACTGTTTGACTTAGACAGCAAAGTGTCTNAATAGATAACGAGATGGCTGAAAGCTTAGATGCACTAATGGAAATTTTATTTATATACATTCAGGATTTCTGTTATTTAGATGGTGAGGAATTTCGTTTGTAYRATAATTCTTTATTATCAATGCATTMTRTTWAATATCYCAAAGAATGGAGGTTTGTGGATCAAATTCTTGTTGTTTTTTGGGAGTTTAGGTGATTATTTGGTTGATGCAAGCACAGAATTGTACCATCAAGTTATAACTGTAAGTATTTTATAAACATATTTTATTTTATTTTATACACATGCTTTTGATTCTATTTTATCATTTATATTATCTTAAATATTCCTCTTTCTCTATTAAAAGGTATTTGAGAAGATAATCCTTCCAACTCATGCAAGCTGCCATAWTCATTTTATTGTATTGTATATTTGTAGTTTAGACCAGGTACGAAAAACGTTTATTGCGTTAAAAACAAATTGCATTTTTATTTGTTTTGTTTTTTGGATTTTTTTTTAGGTGTTTGTAAATTCCTTTTTGGATTTTTGCTGGAAAAAGGTACCCAAATTAACTTTCACCAAAGATTTTTGTCCCCTTCTATATASATTAATGAAGTTTGACTCTAGATAAAACTGATTAACTATGTCTCGCTCCGTTATTTTAGATTGAAAACCCGAGCATACCAGCAATATTACGCCAAGCAAGTTCTGCCTACATGGCCAGTATTGTAGCAAGAGCTAAATTCATTCCAACAAGGTTAACAAAGAAAAAATGATGTTATTGTTTCCAAAACTTTAGTTTACTGACCTTAGTGGTTGTTTCTCAACAGCACTGTAAAACTTTGTCTTGAATTACTTGTTCACTGGATACATTGGTAAGAAAAGAAGACAAAATGTTTCAAAAACTGTCCATGCTATAAATTAATGTTTCTCTGGATAACTTTAGACAAAATTTGTACTTTTGTAGTCATTGAAAAGGTTTCCCAAATTTCGGCCAATTAAATTTCGTCTTGAAAAAAGATTGATTGACCGTTGTCACTTTCTATCCAATAAGAGAACGTCAAAGTTTTGGAAATTTTAAACCAATAAGAATTCGTTATTTTCTCTAAAAGTTGATTGGCTAGTGTCATTTGTTATCCAATGAGCRACCAGGATCTAGTGCTACATAAACTGGAAAGGTTTCCGAGAAACAGGATTTCAACTTTGTTTTTTTTTCTTCTAGCTATATTGATGCGCATGATGCTACTTGTTTTGGTCCCGATGCCTCAAAGCATGGGCCGTTTTACTCTGTTTGCCAGGTTTGTTTTCAATKTTTACACTGAAGCGTTATTGTAGCGTTTTTTATATCGTTCTCCCTCACCAAGGGGGAAAAATGAAAAACTGTACGAAAACGCAACAGTGTGAAGGAGACCACATTCTGTCTATAAAGGTTACTGTCTGCCGATTATTCCGCGATCCTTTATTCCTAATTTCATTTTGTTTTCGTTTTCGTTTTTTTTTTAAGGCCTTGTTTTATATGTTCGTATTCAGACATCGAACGCTCCTTGAACTCGAAGAAGGTACGTACCATTTGTACTTAAAGACGTCTTTSGTTCATTTTTTAATGAATTTCCTTGAAGTTATTCGTGCCTTTTTCTGCGCGCATTGGRATGCTACTTTTTATGCGCAAATTTGAGATGTTATGCTGGAAATGTTTTTCTTTTGTGGGCTTAAAGAAAAGCCAAATTGAAACAATACTTCATTGTTTTGTTCAGGTCACAAATTCATTAGAAGATTCAACTTTGAACGTATAATTACATGCAGATTAAACCCACTAAAGGTACCGCTTGTTCGTTTGCTGTTGTTGTCTTTGTTTTTCATCTGTTTTGATATAATTTGTCGTTTTTCGCTTTTTCATAAATTTGTTTGTTCTTTCTCTTCGCTGTTTTGATCTTTTCAGTATTTCCCCTTTTATTTCACTATTTTGTTGTTGTTGTTGTTGTTGTTGTTGTTGTTGTTGTCAGTAACATTTCTTTGCTGTTGGCGTTTTGTCTGTTTGTTGTTGTTTTGTTTTATGTCCAGTATTTCACGTGTTTCTATCATTAATATTGTATGTTTGTCTTCAGGTCTGTCTACCCACTGTCGTCAACCTCTTTGCTCTTGTTACAAGGTACGCAAAGGAATTCACAAATGAAAAATAACACATTATATTTATAAAGTTCCTAATTTAACATATCTTTATGTTTTGTTTCTAAGTCGACATCAGTTAGTACTTTGCTACACTGTTATCGAGAGAAATAAACGTTCTCTTCTTCCCATCGCGTCCATACAGTCGAATAAGGCGGTGTCTCGTTTGACTGTCTTCAATCAACTCGACTCGTTCTTCCCGTTTGATCCGTATCTCTTGCGAAAGTAAGTATTAAATCATTGTCCACGTTAAAGTTTTCGTAGCGTACGTTTTCGTAACGTTCTTAAACGCTTCAATCGAAAAAACAGTTAAGAAACAGTCGTGTATTGTTGAGTGATTTTTTTTTTAATCTTTTGCAAATTGATATTTTTGTTTCACGGAATTCAGGTCATTTCAATAATTGTTAGGGGTAAAAAGATCCTTGAAATAGATATTACACTGAAGCCCGGTTGCGCATGAGCAAATGCAAATCAGTGCAATTGTACTGATTCACACGTCCAATAAAGTGGAAACGAATGGGCAAGAAAGAAGATTAAAAAGTTCTCTTATTTCGTTTGCATTTTCATTATCRTTTCGCGCGTTAACAAAGGTTTATTAAATAATTGATTTCTGTTTCACGGTTTTACTGAATGAAATCACTCTATTGTTTCTACAGATCTAGTAGATTCATCAAACCGTTATACCAGGAATGGGAAGGAATAGAGGAAGATACTGCTGACCTTCGGGATGAGGTCGACGAAAAAGACAAAGGTTTTGATAGCGAGGTTTGTATAGTTAGSATGTCATTAGAAAATGCTTCGTCGTTTATTGTCAAGCTTATTTTGTGTTGTTTTTTATCCTTTTTTTACAGGATGATGAAGAGTACATGGAGTATGGTAAAACACCGGATATCGACGTACCCGGTCTTACACCCGATACGGCAATGTGTATCTCTCCGGGATTTGTACAATCTCCGCCGGGCAGATAAACCTTATGTTTTACAATCAATCATGCTTCATAACGGACTCACAAAATGATAGAAAATACTTTCAAAATCTCGTTTTATATTTATTTTATACTAAAATACAATTGCATTAAAAATATATGTATATTAATGATTTGAAAATATTTATTAATCGTGTAAATGTGTTTTCATTCGTTCTGATTGCCATAGTGATCCGACACTAGTGGAGCATCTCATACAGACGCCTGAATCGTTATGAATTCATGTTGCTGCAGACTAGATCAACTTTACTCTGGATTTTCATAGCGGCATTGATTTTTACAAAGATTATCGTGGTAATTCTTACTGAACCAAGAAAGAAGTTTGCGAAAAGACGCTCTAAACTCATTAGTAATATTGTGTACCATTTAACTAGTAGCTAGTACATATTCATTGCTGAAGTAAATTCATTTTCTAGAACTGAAAAGAAATACTGAATTGGAYAAATCGGAATATGAGTTGAAATAAGTATTCAACATAAATATATCAAGTGGACCGTCGTTGTGGGATGTCGCTGTTAAGGCTGATAAAAACTGCTTGCATGCACCCTGTCTACCACGTTATCCCTACATCATGGATACAACTGTATCATAAGGATTCAAGTCATGAATAATAGCCTACTACATTTGTAGCCATGTTGTAAGGATGACTTCAGCATATTTTAAGGTCTACACTACTATTCCATATCATGGAGAGTCTCTTTGAAAAACCTTATAATGAAGTAAATACAACGCAACACCTCYAAATTGGGGCCTTTTGAAGCTTCCTTCGACTTAGGATCTTTCAGAAGAAGMTTTCTCGGATCAAGCAATGACACAATAAGCTCTTTCAGCTCGGCTGTCAGCATATCAGGCCAGAGTTTCTTTCCAAAATGCGTTCTCGTCAGACGCACGGCGTCCTCGATCTCTCCACCCATCAGCCACCACGTGAAAAAGTACAACTCYCTTTCGTARAATCGCATAACATCGCCGACATATCGCAATGACCTGAGTTTCGAGATGCGATCTCTGTCCATTTCATCGATTGCTTTACTGGCTGGRCTTTCTTCGTCATCCAGAAGCCTCGTCTTTGCMAAGGGGATTTTGGCGGTATTCCAGTTACCAGCACACTTCTCGAACTGGGACAAGACGGAGTTTTCTCGCGAGTTTGGRATAATTGCATCCAAATCGCAAATGACAGCAAAAGGAATTCTCAAATCTCGACAAATTGCCGCACCTTTCCATATGTTCTTTTTACCSCCAATGGACAAAACTTTGCARTTTCGCACGGCTTCTTGAACGTGACTGAGTTGTTCTTCGGTGAAGTACTGCCTTTGATATGCAGTGTCTAGGAAAGCWGTCTCGATGTAAGACATGTACTTGGRAAAAGGTCCTGGAGAAGGGCTTCTTGTCCCAGACGAGTCACCATMGTCCGTTTCCTCATGAACAACCAGTGTCTTGTGATTGCGCTCTAAGAGCGCCTTCCARAGATCGCCATTCCCATCGTCAAACAATCCTAACAAAGCATCGATRAAACGTTTATCRCTTTCTCCTTCSACCCAAATAATATGCCTTGAAAAAAAGATTTCTCGTACTTCAGAACCACCAATAAACAACAGCTCTCGCTCGCTGTACCTTGATGTCACCCTACGTATTTGACAATATCCACTGGGTAACAACTGAAAACGTAAAATCAGCGTTATCCTATCAACATCTAGTAGTTCAGGGGAATGCGAAACGGCAATGATACACTTGCGTCTCCTTACGGATTCACGCATTAGGATATTACGCAAGCGACGGGTTTGAAGTGGGTGCATACCACGYGTTGGCTCGTCGAGAATTACGTTGCGGGATTKKGGATTAACTATCAASGCAGCTATGATGAAYGCCGAGAAGACACCTTCTGGGATACGRCGCATTGGGCGTCCTGTCTTACTGTCCATCACTTGGAACGATTCACGCGATGACGACTTTAAGTTGATRTCAAAGAAAAGCGATTTAGTTCCGACTATTTCATGGAATAGGGGATGGATGTCTGGTAGACTTTCCTTGGGAAACCCGYGTAGAAGATCRGTCACTATCATCTTTTTCAGTTCATGATAGTTTGACCATGCCAGCCCTCCAAAGCTGGACAGTCTCTTGAATTCACGACGATGGATCCCTTTGGAGCTGGTTCTAAGRGGGATACCCTGGGGATCTAAATCACTGAATGCCTTGGAAATGTCATTGTGAATTAWACTCATWGTGCTGCCATCAACTTCATTTTCAAGTTGCGATTGGTCAAAGGTTGCCATAGTASCATCATTTACCATGGCAACATTTTTGGAAGTCATCATGTTGTCATAGTAACTTTGAAGAGTTGAGTCCAGGCTACTGCTTGAGCTGCTTCGAGAGAAACTTTCATATGGAATGGTCTTGATATTGAGAAGAAAAGAATGCTGTGGAACCCAATCCATTGGATTAACTCCCCCTGGAAGTGGCTCGTGAAATCCTGTAGTGAGTGACCCCCCTGATTTAGTGACAACAAATATACCAGTATCCAAGATGATGTACAAAAATTGAGAATTGCAAAGACTGTTTGCATCAACATCATCAAAAGCTTGAGAAAACGTGGCTCTCATTGGCTGATGCCTATGGCCAACCAGGACTTGGAGCTGCGAGSCTGCAGCAGTGCAAATGTTTTTTATTGTTTCTAAAACAGGTTCAGGGATCTTAATCAGATCATCGCAAAACCAGGAACTTAAACCTGCAGAAAGTTTTGGACACTGACYGGTTGTGTTTTCGCTGTTATCGCATAGTTTCACCAGCTCATCTCTGGTGATATCAAACTGACAAACGGCTTTGGAAAKACCAAGGTTATTGTCAAGTACTTCRAAATCAGGACCCTCCTCTTGTAGGTTACAAGCTGCTTTAATGAGTGCTACTAAACTACTTTTACCACTGGCATTTTCTCCAACAAAAGTAAAGAAATTGCAGCCATCTTTACCACTCAAATCCAGTTCATGTCTTCCCTTGAAGATGACATAGTTCTCAACAACAACTCGGCGAAGCATTGTTTTTCACTTGAGCCTTGTCAACCTGGGAGGTGAGATTGGTAACACATTAAATTTGATTTCAATGAATATTTATTTAAAGTTATCATGTCAACATGACAACAGGCTAATAAAGTTAGGAAAGATAAAGTTTGTATATTATTTTAATCCCCTAAACAAGGAATATTATCTGGTGGATATTACCATTTACCCTTTTGTGCACTAGGGGATAGTTGTCTAGAATTCTAGAAGGGCAAATAGCACTATCCAGGAAGGTAAAAGTGCCAGGGATGCTCATCAGAAATTTTCAAAAAGGCCCCTAAAAGATCATAACTTTAACTGGTGGATATAATTTTATATGCCCTTCATACAACCATCCCTTGCACTGTAAAATATTGTGAAGGTATGATTGTCAAACCAATTCAAGATGAATAATTAGTCAAAATAAAATCATATATTGTCTTTCCAACTTGGCCTTTTGCTTTTATGAAAATATATGTATCAGTTGTCACAGTCAACAATTAATTTATACTGTTGATAAGGAAGCCAACCTTTTACTGGTACGGACTATAATTTCTGGGTTGCATTATGCTAATTCCATTGTTTTCTATTGTTTAATCAGAACTAAAAAAAAGTACTAATAAGTGCTTCACAATTGTAGTTTTTGAGGTCAATATTCTGTATTTTATGGATATCCAAAAAAGACTTTATACATAACATTTCTGTATCATCATATCTTAAATGTTTTCAGCATTTTAGTCTAAAGTTTAAGTTTGCACGCATAAGTTAAGTTTGATTCATGCAAATTAAACGTAGTGTTCAGATAGTGTGTTGAGGGAGCACGAAATAATAATAATGCACAATTTYAAACACCAACATCGCCGTACATTATGTATTACAGCTCACAGAGCAAGCTGACAGTAAAACAGAAACTCCATAGAGCTCTACTGTACAGATAGCGAAAGTGAGTTTATACTTAAGACTTACCGTGTTCTGTTGGTTGATCTCGAAACCCTCGAGCCTTTACTGCAGAATATTCCGATGAATTCTCTTAATAAGGCCATTTCATATCATTGATGCTAACTTAGAAGCAACATTTTCAGTGTGGACGGCCATAAAMAGGCAAACGCAGCAAATACAATCGGCTGAGATGTGCGTTCTTGTGTTTGCATGCAAAAAGTTGCTGAGCGACCATTATATTACACAGGAACCCCGAGTGTGCATRACCGGAAAACAGAAGTATAGTATAAATGCAGTGCAGACTCAACCAGCAATTTTCTCATGTTTGAAATCGTTTTTATTAATTTGTTAAAATTCAAATCATTATATTCAATCATTAATGAACAAAATACAAGCAGTCCATTTCTACATAAAGTCGAAATATTCAAATATTCCCCCTTCTTCCATTGTAAACAATAATGTTTATTAATTCATTTTGATTAAAAACTCAAGCTTCAGAGTGATTTTTATCTAAAGCTTGCAAAGCTAGAACTTACAGACGAATGGTACCAAACCCAAATTCCATTTATTTTCCATYTGMWGAGTTCTGACTATGAACAATGTTATAATTTCAATCTGATCAAAACCACTCCCTGTATCATCTTGATTGTATACTGTTAACAAACACTCGGTCTACAACTAACCAACGCTCTTACTTGATTCTTTCACAGACGATGGAAAAATCACTTTCAGGCTTTTGAAGATAGTGAATCTTTACATACTAGTAAGGCCACAACAGCCATCAAAGTGATTTTCCATTGTCTGTGTGAATTATGACACAACTATCTTTCAAATGACATTGCRAGCTTTACAAAACAAAAGGAATTATTATTAAATTAGCATTTTTTTGTACTTTTTACAGACACYATGAAAAGTCTAAAGTGTAAATAATTTATCCTACATAATATTTGTACTTGCTTAAAAGTAAATTGCTCTTGATTCCTAAGGGTAAGATCTGTGTCTTTCTTCAGCACAGGAAGCCYAAGGCAGCTATTAAAACTACTGATATATAATTTTTTTAGAATATAATTTATTGTTTATTGATAAGTTCACTGTAATGTTGATTRGAACCTCTTTTAATGGACACCACTATTTACTCCAACTTTGTGTTATAGCTTTCTCTGTAGCCTCAAAACTGCATAAAATTCTTTCATTTCATTGACAGCTACTGGAAACGAACAGAATTTCTTTTATAGGAAGTAAACAGCATCACATTTTAAAATACACATTGAACATTTTGTGCACAATTGAGGCTAATGGAGAACACTGGAGTGGAGCATGACTTTGTAACATTACAGCTCTTTTCAGACAACTCTTCAGGTCTTGTCATCTGTTCTTGAACTTAAATGCAACCATTCCCTGGAGAGTCAGTTAAACGGTTTAAATGGTATAATTTGCTTGATTTGTTCTCTTTGGAAATGTTTGCAAGTCGTGAATATCACAGACAAGTTTATACTGTGAACTATCACTTTCCATTTCCATTTTTTTCTTTTTCTTTGGTGTCCTTCAAAAAGAGGCTCCACTGTATTGCATTAACACTTGAAAATTGCATTTATTCTGCTATACTTAAACATTTTTCTTGTGCTCTTGAAAATACGGCGGAGGTGGTGGCTGTTGATTGCAAGGACATACGTGAATAATAAGCTTGTTCATAGTAAAGAAAAATTATAATTTGTACTTTTTTATTTTTGTACTTTTTTACAAGAATATTCAGACAACATAAACTTGAAAAATTCCAGCACAAATGCAATCAAATGAATACCCAAAGAAGATAACAGCTGTTTTAATTGACAACAGGTTCTTTTGACCTTACCAAACTCAAAAGAAAATGTTGTAGAGTGCACGCCAGATAAACGTGAAACAATTCTTAAATAATTAGCACATGATAAGATTTAGTTATCAACTAATTACGAATTCAGTATTAGGCATAAACAAAGATAATTTCCTTTTTGGCATTGTGCTCATGCCCCAGGGAATTCTTAGTTAGTTGATAACTAAAGCTTATTAGTTGTTGATTATTAAGAAATATTTCACACTTTAGTGGTGTGCACTCTAATTACAATATAGGAGTACAATTTGGCATTAAACTGTGGCTTTAATTTGAAACTCAGTCCTGGACATGTCCATGAGAGTTTTACACATATGCAGGCTTTGTTGTGGTCTTTAGTACGTCTTTTCAACTGGTCAACTTTTTCAGGATTAACTGTACATTAACACTAACTAGTCAAGATATGATATTTTAACAAACTTTCAAATTCATTACCTGGTTTGCAGGAACATAAACATTTTGACCTGAGGTGTACGCTTCTTGTGCTTTAACACCCCCAGCGCCTGGAAAGTCTGGTGGTGGAGCTGATGGAGGTGCCATTGGTGCAGACTGTCCAGGGTAGGGTGGTGGATTTTCCTGGCAGGAATAAAGTGAGAATTATGAATATAGTCGTCCTGATTGAGTGATGAAGCTCTAAGGGCATTGAATACTAGACTGATAATACTAATAAACTTGATGTTAATAAATGATATTATAATTTAACAAGAAAGTTCTAGTATAACAATTTGCTGTGACTTACTGGAGGTCTGTATGGTGGAGGCTGAGCAGCTAAAAACAAACAGCAAGAACAGAAAATTAGCACTTTTGCATCATAATAAATATCAAACAAATGTTTATTATTGCATAGAAAGATTTATATC